TTTAACAATAACATTAAGTTGACTGTAAGATATTCAATGTTAATAATTGAATAAAGAATAAAGCAACAGTTATTCATAAAAGTATTCGGCAAATCAAAGTAGAAAAGCATTTTTTATATGAGTAAATTTATTAAATAACTGGTAAAATAATATAAAGCAATAAATTGTTGAAAAAAATGTTGTAAATGAAGCTATATATTTTAACAGTAGACAACTTCAGTAAGCTTTTTTTTAAGTGTATATAAATTCCAGGTATAAATTTTATATATGCTTTTAATGTTTCGTATACAAGGGATTTTATATAAAATGTAAACATACATATATGTATATTAATAAAGTAAATATATGTACAAAATAGATGTATTTTAGAAATTGAAATACTAAGCTTCTTTCGATTTTTTCCCCTCTGATTATTGGAATGCGACTTTATCGGGAATTGTTTTACAGTCTATTGATTGAGATTTTTGCAATTCACTCCTAAGAGATGGTTTTAGTGGAGTCAAGTCGAGTCAGATGCTTTTCACCTATCACAAAAAAGAGAATAATAATTATAATATTAAATAACTATTTAGATTTAAGAAAAAAAATAATATACAGTTTATAATTATGAAAACAAATTCATTAAGGCTTTCGTCTTCTTTTTATGTAATAATATAATAGTTTTTCTTTGAAGGATAATAAGTATAATACGCTAAACACATGATAATTTTTAAGTTAGATACTCGTAGCGATAGTTATCTTAAGTTCGACGCTAAGGAGAGAATTTGAAATCACTGAAGTTCGTGAAATCACAAACCCCTCTCCGGAGTCTGTGACACTTTTTAAACTTGCCTCATATAATATTGCAGAATTGGAGAAAAAAATTGATTTTTAACGTCCGTTTCGACGAAAGTAACTAAATTCTTAATATAAAATATTATTTTCAATAGATGAGTATTTTAAATAGTATTAAATTACAACAATAAAATTTTATTTTAGTAATTTTATTAATTAATTGAATTTTTGGCTGACCATTTCGAGTATTGACAAATACCAAATACCCATCATCACTGGTCATGGAATTATATTTTGTATTTAATTATTCGTAAATAATTTTTGAGACTGTACTCGTGTTGAACTCGTGCCCTGCTAACTTTGACGCTCAGGGTCAGTGTTAATTATCATAAAATTGCTTGATTACAATGTAATACTTTCGAGTTAATAAAACAAAATATTTATTCTGCAAGTGTGAAAAATGCCAATTGATTAAATTGTTAATAGCATTGCGCGAATACTTTTCAAATCATATTTGATTTGATTTGATGGCTCTTTAATACAATATCTCTTAAATATAAATATAATTTTTTTTTTTTTTTGTGTTTATTTTTGTTAGAGTTCTTAACAATTTTGTTTTTCTTAGCATCATTTTTTGCAATTGACAAGTAAATCAATTTTAAAACCACGTATACCAATCCAGAGATCCGCTTAACATTTTGTGTGAATAAATTTTTTTATCACTTTTATACTGTTCTTGAACGGCCAATTTTTATTATATCTTATACAAACAAAAATTTAATTGAAATTGTAACAAAAAATTTTTTGGCCCATTAAACTGGCTCCGGCATCAACATCAGCAACATCACGAGTCAAAATGAAATTCTCCTGTGAGTGTTTTCGTTGGAAATTTCATTTTGAAATTGACCTCGTTTTGTGCATTTTATGAAAATTTTTTCCTAACCATGAACCAATGAAGTCGCCTCCATTGGTTCACGGTAAACATTGTTTGTTCCATTGACAAATTAATGGTAAGGACTCATTATCCGCTTTTTGTAATGGTCAAAGCAATACCATTTTGCCTTCGTCACCGCACTTTACCGGCTTACGCACAACACTCAGTACTATATAGACGATGAAGAGTACTGAAAAATACCAAAAATTATGATTTTTAACATTTTTCATTTCATTCTTCCCCAACCATCTCAATCATGAACTCCATTGTTATGCCATTGCGACTGCTTTGGCGTTAAAATTCCTTGGGCTCCCTTATGAGAAAGTCACATTTTCCAAGCTCTCCTCATAATGTTGGCTTTCATTTATTGATTTCATTTTCAATTTAAACGAAAATTTGCTTACAAAGTTTTTCTTATCGCAAAAATTATGAGCTGAAAATTTGTTGCCACTTTTAGCATTCAACGTTCTCCATTCACCATTCGGCACTCGGCATTCAGCATTCAGCATTCAACATTCAACATTTGAAATATTTGTTTTCTTTGTCACTTGGAGCCATTATATTCCAAAAGTTTTCTTAGATTTTACTTTCACGGAAAATATTAAAATTTCATTGCCCCGCACCGCACAGTACCGCATTACCCAGGAGGTACTCGTAAATAAACGAATCCTAGAGGTGGCGGCGAACAAACAGTGTTTGTGTCAAATTTGGCGAAAAGGTGTCCGAAAATCAGTATAAATTTATTTACTTTGTAAACAATAAAATAAAATTGAACTGAAATTGACAAAATTCGACATAAATCAAATATTTGCCCTCGCATTACTCCGCCCATTACTCCACAGAACACCTCCGCAATGGACGATTTTGGACTTTCGTTATTTTAGGCAAATTAGAGAAAAAAAATTTTATTTTATCTTTTAAATTAGTTTACTTTACTTTTGGACTGAATATTATAGAGGTATAAAGTATATATATATACATATATATATATAACACTCAAATACCCAATAATTAATTTTTATTACTGCTAAGTAATGCTTGGCAAATTTTACAGCAAAGGACTTATATCCAAGAGCAGCCATTCTAAACGGTATATAACGGTATATAAATGGCAACAGAATATTATAATATGAGGATATGACATTTACGTTGTTCTCAGTAACATTACAAATAAAAAAAAATTGTCACATTCAGAGTAATGATGACCCAAGAGTGATCCATCGGTTACTGTCGCAAGCATTAAAATGCGGTGTTTGATGCTTTTTACAGACTGATGGCATAATTTGACTGTATTTGTTCTAAAATGTAAAAAAAATGAAATGTCACTTTCAGTCACACCCTGAACAGAGCCATGCACAATAATTTATTTTTAACTATTTAGTACAAAACTGGTCGAGAGTTTATTGGTCAAGAGTTCCAATAAGATTTTACTACTTGAAAAATTATCAGTTGTCAGAGAAATTAACGAATTATTTAGGGAAGTGTTTGATAAGAATAAAATCTCCGGGAATGTAACTCGCACCATATCGTATAACGTAGGTAAACAAATTTTGTAATAGTAACTTGAGTTTTTTCTCAACTCTACTTAGAAGCAGACGAGACTTCCAGTCACATTCTCTGTGACTGCCCAGTTTTGATCTGGGCCAGGAGAAAGTCACTGGGAGAAGAGCTGCTCTCTCCTTCTGGCATTAAGAAGTCCACAACGGCCCGCATTCTGGCCTTCATTCGGACGGCGGAATGTCTTCTGTTCAGTTAGGGTCTGTTGCAGTACAAAATATCAATCTGGTCGCAGTACTCCGCTCCGTTGGGAGTTTTTTTTCTACTCTGTTCTATTCTATTATATTCTATTCTAACTTGAGCTTTTTGAACAATGTGAATTACAACAACAAAATTTTATTATTTTGAATTATTTAAATTTTTATCTGTCCATGCAGTTACGTCAAGAATTGCCAAACATCTACAGAAATTAAATTTAACAATTTAAATAAATTATTTGATGAATTAAATATAATTTATTTAATTAAATTATTCCACAAGAGGTAAATTTATTAATGAACTTTCACAGCAAATTAATAAAAACTCTAAGTCAAAATATACAAGTCAAATACGGCTTTTGGGCATTTGGCTAATTAATACTGACTCAAAGCTCCAAATTTTGTAGGATATAAGTCCAACCATTGCTACTTGCAGTCTAAAAATTATTTACGAATAGTGAAGTCAAAAAGACTACTGTTGATGCGAAAGCTGTATGTATGGTCACCCATTAAAATAATTAATTAAAAATAATAAAATTTTGTTGTTGTGATTCACTACTATTTAAAAACTTCTCTATTAAAAAATTAGTTTCTTTTAAGAGAATTTTTTTTTTCATCATAACTGGCTTTAAAATCGAATTCAGTTTCTAAATTAATTGGTCACATAAGCCAATATTTGGTATCGTTATTAGCAGCAAAACATTACCTAAACCATTTTTAAGATAATGCCTTAATATGTTAAAAATTTATAAGAAATCCCAACTATTATATTAAAAAATCAAGAATACATTCTAGTATTCCGATTTCTTTAGTGGAATGTAGACATTTTTTTCTAAAATTTAATTAATCGATGTCATTTTTCGTTACAAAGTATTTTGGATTGCAGGGATTATTCACATTTATACATATTTTCATCTGGGTTCAGTTAGGTTATACCGGAGATCCCTAGCGGATCTACTTAGACCCATTACGTTACTCTATATAGAGAAAGAGTCAGAGCTTAAAATCACCTAGAACTTATGGCGAAACTCAAAATGCTATTTAATGTCAGATCTTGTAATTGATCAAGATTTTTAAGAAAGGGGGTTACTAAAGTGTTGCGTCACCGCCGTGCATGAGCTGAGCAAAGACAAAGTAGATGAGAATTTGGATATATATTGATATAGCTTAAAATCATTATTTTGGTATGTATAGCTCACATTCGCATACGAAGAAGGGTTTTATAATAGTTTAATACATATACATATATTAATTCGAGCTTGAATTCGAGAAAAAGCAAATATCTAAAAAATCCCTTAATTGGTAATACTTAAAAAAACCGTGAATGAATTGAACATATAGATAAATCCGACAATTAATATTTTAATCAGATATTAACTCTGAAAGAAAAACTATATATAAAAAAACTATAAAACTATGTCACAAATCAATATTATTTCTACTGGTTGAAGAAATCAAATAAACTCAGTAAGTGACAAAATTTTTAAATTTACAAAAATTTACTTTCATAATATTTTCTACAGGAAATCATTTGTTTTTTATTTTTATCTTACATAGTTTCAAAATTTTCTCTTCCAACTTCGGGTTGTCTATAACTCGATTTTTAATTTTGGGAATTCAACTGAAAATAATCATGTGGTTTGCTAAAGTATTTAAATGTGTGTACACAACAGCTGTTCAACACACGATCGCTAATGCAAAGACTGTGAAGAAACTATGTGTACCGAAAATCCAGGCTAATCCCTTACATTCCTCTGATGAAAATGCTTTGAACCTGAAGAATAATACACATCAGCCAGCGAATTGCTTGGAAGAGGTTAACAAGTACACTGAAAAAGAAATGTCAAATCATGATTCTACAGCATGTGTGGTAAAAGGTGATCAATCATATAGTTGTTCCGGCTTTGTATTAACTGAAACGCCCAATGAAGAGGATTTTAAAAACTTCACAACTAAACTGCCATCTGCAAGAGAACACTCACATGATATGCTGAACAAATGCACATCAAAAGATGAGGAATCAAATTCTGGTATGAATAACTTTTCAAACGTTACTATTTTAATAAGTTTAAATTAAGACCTTACAGAATCAATTACTAACACTTATTTATTTTCAGTTAAGAATACACAAACGAAATCATCTAACACTGCAGCGAATACGAAAGCCTTGGTCAAAGCTTTCAAATCGATAGCCACTTCTAGGTCTAACAGGAGTGTTTTTTCAGGTAAATTAAATAATAATTTATGTCCATTAGCTATGAGCAGGTTCGGGGTGCAAACGTTTGTACATCGAATGTACTCAAATAAGAGCGGCAATAAAATTGACATATTCGATGTTAACTGGGAAGACCAGCAGTCAGATGATGACGAGGAGGAATATGACGATCAGGTACGTCTACCAACAAAATGTTTTTCCAGTCTGCAGGAATGTCCATTGACACCCATTGATATCGATGCATGGGAGGATGAGGATGTAGCTAAGGAGGGAACCCTGCTTATAAAACCTTATGCGGATAATCCTTTTGAATATCCTCCACCACCAAAGAATCGCACTGGAGAATACAAGTTTAGAGGCGTCACGGTCGTTCTTCCAAAATCGTGGCTAACACCAGGACTGTACCGCTATCGTTATGACAAGAAAGACAAAGATGAATTGGCTGATGATATTCGTGTTATTAAATTCCCAAAGTAAAGTAAAATTTTATCTGAACGAAGACTTGTAAAAATGTATGAAGAATGGAGAATGGAAAAAATTTGATATACTTTTGTAAATCAGAAAAAAACTAGCTAATTAGTCTGCCCTAGTAAATTTTAGCGAGTCTTCTATATTTTAATACATTTTTCCCACATCATGCAAATAAAATAAATTTTTGGCAATGACACTTATTTCTTTTTAATTTATATATATATTATTAAAAACCCTGAAAAATATTGTACTTAAGTAGAAAAAATGCACACAAAGCTTAAATTTCAAGCCATGGTTCAGACATAAAATTTAAAAAATCAATCTGAAGTTTTTTATTTAAGGAAATGATGGATGCTCCATAATTGGAGTGATAAGTAACAATTTCTAGATAACATATTTGTGGTTATTTGATGAGTATTAACCTAATTAGTCTATGAATCTGAAATATTGCGAAATAGTCTACTTTAAGCAGCCTGTACACGGCAGGCTCTGGTTGTTAACAACATTTCAATTCGGCTAAAAATGTACAATGGCACATAGTAAACGATCCACAAATAAAGATATCAACAGAAAATATCTTTGTTTTATTAAATATACCCAGTTAAATTTAAAGCCGAATCTAATTAAAATACAAAAATGAAAATTCTGGAGATACATTTGCAAAAAAATTTTTTTTTTTTTAAAATTTAACGGCTAATATTAGTAGTTAAATATAAACAATATTAATTGTTTAAACAATTTCCTAAAAGTTTAACCAATTATCTTTAAAACGCAACAAATTTCAAGTCTCTATCATCTATATAGTCTAAGATATAGTCATATAGTCATCTTCA